AAGTACATAAAATCATAAGGAATAAAAACAAATACGACATAGAGTATCTCTAAACTATCAAATAATTTTTTCCTCACATTTCTTTTCCATATGCTATAAGATGTTATCAAAATATTCACTTGTTACAGATTTCTACCAATCTATGCACATTCCTATGTTCTGACCTTGAATTTACACCACGGGTATGTTGCGACACTGAAATTTATGATGGAATACTCACTTTGAATAATAGACAAAAACATGCTGAGAGAATAGCATACAATCGTGGTGCAGGTAGTGGACTCGGCAGCGGTAGAGGTCCTGGTAGACCACCAACGACTGAGATTCCCCTTGAGGAATTACTCGCTTGTGAAGAACCAGAAGCCAAAGCTGCTAGAACACGTCGTCGCGGAGCTACATTTGCATTAACAGCTATAGGTATATATTAGATGTTATATTTAGCAGGATCATTTCTTATAATCAAAATTAACTAATGTTCAATTAAATGCAATTCTCTCTGATCTGAATGAAAAAAGAAATGAGATAGGGGGGAATCGATTAAATTCTAATTAATTAATTGTGTATAACTAATTTTAATGAGTAATGCAATTTAATACACTGTAATAGTCTGTATGTAATATATATGTAAACTTTATGTTTAAAATATTTCTATATTTTTGAAGCTACTCTCTTCGGTGCTCAATTACCTGATCGCTTACCTCAACTGTGGAATTTGATTTTACCGAACACACTAAAAGATGCAACCAAACAAGATAATATACAAGAAGATGAAGGAAATCTATTAATTGTCGGTCTACAAGTATTAGAAATCATAGCACCAAGTTTGGATAAGTCTTTGTTACCGCCTGTGTTAGAGGTTTTTCCACGTTTATGCAGTCTACTAACGCATTCATACAAAGCTGTTAGACACATGACCTCACGATGTATAGCTACATTAGCTACTCTAGATACAGAGAAAGTAATTTTAAGCTTTATCAGATACATATTGATAACGATAGACATAACAATATAGAACAAAAGATTAAGAAGTTTATTTTATTTTTTTTAGACAATGGTACACATATTACGTAGTGTTATACCACTCTTGGACACAACTGGCAGTGAGAAGAGATGTTCTTCAGGCATAGTGGCACCGAACAAAGTCGATTCCGTACGCCAAGGAGCTGCGGAAGCTCTAACTTGCATTGTCGAAAGCTTAGGCGTACATGTGGTGCCATATGCAGTACTCTTTATGGTACCTTTATTAGGACGTATGAGCGATCAAAATCAATCTGTAAGACTAGTTTGTAGCGCAACTTTCGCTACGCTTGTGCAGCTGTTACCGCTTGATCCTGGCGCAATTGCAGATCCACCAGATCTAGTGTAAGTTATTCGTGCGAGATACATATAATTTTTAGTAATATGTGTGATTGGTGTATACCATAATATTCCTGAAAAAGAAAAAATGGATGACAACACAACACAATCATTAAATGATTAAATCACATCAATGATTGTACCTGCTAATGTCATTACGATATTATTTTTGAAATAGTGAATTCATGGATTAAGCACAAATTATAAAATTTGAGTAATAATGACTGCGATTCGTTATTCACACACGCGCGCGCGCGCGCGCATACACTCACAGCAATTACTGAAAATCTATAGTTCACGTTACATATTGTATACTATGGATTTTCAATACTCATAGTGAATAACGAAACAGCTATTAAGGTGGTTCTTTAGTCATTCGAGTTACCATAGAAATGTCTAATTTTTTTATGTAATGAAGTTGAAATACCGAAATTGACGTGTGCAAAATTCTACGATAGATTAACGATGAAATAAGAGAAAAAAAATGTTGAAGATGTAACTTTTCACGTATTACTCAGTGATAGTGACAGATAAGGCTCGCAGACGCTTCTTTGACTAACTGCACATAAATCTTACCATAGATTTTTCTTAAAAACAAGATAATAGTTTAAAAAATTACGATTTTAATAATCACAAAAAAGTAATAGTAGATCAACAGTCATTCTGGAAAGATATTTACGTGCATAAACTTGCATATAAATTTAACTTCGAAAAATAAACATAATCTTATCTCGTTTTCGTTCGATCAAGATGCAGCTCTTGATTTACTATCGTATATTCCATACTATTTCATTAAGATATACACAAGATATGTAGTTTTAATATTTTAAATTATGCAGATATTTGTAATTTTGGGCGGGCCCTGATGAAGCACCCAAATTTTTGGCACTTTACTAAAGAACCACTTTAATTAACACAGCTTAAAAGATATTCTAGTAAGGTACATCGCTTTACTGACCAATCATATATATTATTGAAAGCTCATATGGCATTTGAATTCAGTGTTCCTTATGTAATATATGTACAGACAAGAAAAGGCACAAGAGAGAAAGTTCTTGGATCAACTTCTAAATCCTCATAATATTCCTGATACGGAGCTACCGATTTCCGTAGCCGCAGAATTACGTTCGTATCAACGACAGGGCTTAAATTGGCTCAATTTTCTGAATCGTTATCATCTTCACGGAGTGTTGTGTGATGATATGGGACTTGGAAAAACATTACAAACGCTCTGTATCTTAGCATTGGACCACCATCGCAATTCACAGGCACCGACTAGTCTAGTTGTATGCCCGCCAACTCTAACGGGTCATTGGGTATACGAGGCTGAAAAATTCTTCAAAGTAAAGGATTTGTCAGTTATTCAATATGCCGGCACGCCACAAGATCGCGAGAAATTGCGTCTTCGAGTGCCACATCACAGGCTCGTAGTTGCGAGTTATGATATTGTACGAAAAGACATTGAATTCTTCGAAGCGCATCAATGGAATTATTGTGTGCTTGATGAAGGCCATGTAATAAAAAACGGCAAAACGAAAAGCGCCAAAGCCATGAAGCGATTGCATGCTAATCACAGGCTTATATTGTCCGGCACACCTGTACAGAATGATGTGCTCGAATTGTGGTCTCTTTTCGACTTTTTGATGCCAGGTTTCCTCGGTAGCGAGAAACAATTTGCCGCTAAATATTCCCGTCCTATTTTGGCCTGCAGAGAGCCGAAGGCAGGACCGAAAGAACAAGAGGCTGGTGCTTTAGCTATGGAGGCTCTTCACAGACAGGTAATTGTACAAATAAGACAAATTTGTGTCTTTTTCATCCTCTTCCTCCTTATTTTCATTAAAGTTCCTTAGTTTAAGTTCTGTCACAGTGATTTATTACTGTAATCGATTATAGGTATTGCCGTTCTTACTGAGACGAAACAAGGAAGACGTGCTGCAAGATTTGCCACCCAAAATCACGCAAGATTATTACTGCGATTTATCACCTTTGCAACGCATACTTTATGAGGATTTCCGCACTCGTCATTCCGCTCTCACTAACAATTCCTCGTCTTCTAACGATTCTCAAAGTAATGTGTTTGAAGCGCTACGATATTTGCGTAACGTATGCAATCATCCAAAATTGGTGTTAAGTCAAGGACATCCATTGTATCGAACAGTATGTATTAAAAAACAAATATTTAAAAAAATTATTTAAAGAAAAATTGTGTGTGTGTGTGCGCGCGCGCGCGCGCGTGTGTGTAAAATCTTGTTTTACAATCTTATATTTTTCAATTTTCTTCATTTAGTTTATGAAATCTGTTGTAATAAATTTTATCCTATATAATTTTTCTATAATATTTCCAGGTGTGTGATATGTTGAAGCAGCAACAAAGCACTTTGGCAGAAATTGAGCACGGCGCCAAGTTACTTGCATTGAAACAATTGCTATTAGATTGTGGTATCGGGCAACAGCAACAGCAGCAAACTCGCAATTCCTCCGCTGTGAATCCTACCGCAGAAAGCGCTCATTCCCAGGAACAGCAACTAGTGAGCCAGCATCGTGCTCTAATTTTCTGCCAATTGAAAGCAATGTTGGACATTGTGGAGGAAGATCTACTTCGCACGCATCTGCCGACAGTAACATATCTCCGTCTAGATGGCAGTGTACCGGCGGCGCACAGACATTCTGTCGTAACGCGTTTCAATGCTGATCCATCGATAGATGTTCTTTTGTTAACCACTCAAGTCGGTGGTCTTGGATTAAACTTGACAGGAGCAGATACGGTTATATTCGTGGAGCACGATTGGAACCCTATGAAAGATCTCCAAGCAATGGACCGCGCGCACCGTATAGGACAGAAGAAAGTAGTCAATGTATACCGCTTGATTACTAGATCGACAGTGGAGGAAAAGATTATGGGACTACAAAAGTTCAAACTTCTCACTGCAAATACAATAATATCGACAGAGAATGCTTCTTTGGAAACCATGGCTACTGACCAAGTAATTCAATAATTAATATTTAATATCAAATTTTATCGAAACTCATGTGATGTAAAATCAATATGATTTCCTTAGTTGTTGGATCTATTCTCGTTGGACAACGGAAAGGAGAAAAGGATGGATCATCAAGAGGACACTATTTCGTCGAAACTTCCTGGCCTACCGGGTATTAGCCGTTCTGTGCTAGATATCCTACCTGAACTCTGGGAACAGCAGCAATATGACGACGAATATGATCTCGACTCATTTTTGTCTACTCTGAAGGCTGATAGCCAGTAAGCTTACCAGTACCTTGATAAATCATTCAATATAGATTTAGAGCTCGGTAAGTTTTTCGTGTAGCTCAAAGCTGGCACATAATATGATGAATGAAAAATATTGTAGAAATCTGATCCAGTTGTTAACTCTTGGTTGCGTATAGTTTGGTAATAGTTTAGCATATCTCAATGGCCAAAAGCGATCTTTATATAATTTACGTAATAATAAAAATTACGTAATAATAAACGCTTAATTAAGAGTTAACAAGTCTAGCTTTGTTGTAATAGAAGAAATCATTAAGTCTTATAATAAGAAAAATGACATCAACGTACCTAAACTCAATCTATATGATAGTAAGTAAGGATAAATTAAGGTATCTGCGTAAGGTAAACGTGTGTTTTGTTTAGTTGTAATAATTTATAAAAATGCCGATACAATTACAATTCCGCATTTGTACCAAATGACGTCATGGTGCATAATTATTTATAATGTATATTGTACTAGTCTTTTTTTCTATATTATCATGCCGAATCAGCAAACAACAATACTAATTGCTTCGTATTTGCTATCTACGTGCATTCTCCGTTAATGGAAAAATCATATTCTTCATTAAGAAACATACAGAACAATCTTAACGATAAATTGATAAGATTTGTAACTTTTGATTGAAAGTATACGAAATCACATCAATTTACTATAAAAACTTTTCAATGGTTCAAGATATCGGCACTAACGGAGTATGGAATAGCTCTATAGATTCTGCACTGTCGCATATAAGATTTTAATTCACAATTTTGATTTATTTCCTGAAACCATATTACCCGCTGCGAATATATTATGTGGATCCAAGTGCGCTTTAGTCGCTCGATAAAGAGAAACACCCGCTTCCCCAACGGCTTCGGGATAAAATGACGCACGTATTTTCCCTACTCCATGATGATGGGAGAGCGAGCCACCATTGGCGAGTATTTCCTCCCGCGCTGCATGCTCAATGGCCTCATAAATTTCCACACAATTCTCTTTATTTGAATAGCTAATTGCTAAGTAAAAATATACGCAACAACCCGCGTCATAGGTCTGCGTAACGCGACAGGAAATAAAATATTTACTGATACCGTGTGCCTTGCAATCTCTGGCCACGCGAGACTTTACATTTCTGCATAGTGATAATGCATGATTCCAAGAAACGGAAGTCTCAAACGATTCTGCTAATATGTTAAACTCGATTGCAAGGTCACGGATGTACGCTATCACGAATGTTAACATGTAACCTCGTTCACCGTTAGCTTCGCCTGCCGGTATGCCACCGTATTTATCAGCTATCTTGTAAATTTTGCGTTCCTGAGCCGCAATGTCCTCTGCCACATCGCCCTCCATTAATAGCGTGGCCACGCATATCTGATCCCATCGGAAACCTTTTATTCGAGTGATGTACATATGTTTTAGTCCTTGCAGAATCAAACCGCCCCAACCAGACTCCGGGCGTAGAGTTTGCCCCATTTGGAACTGCTCGTTATCCATTAAGCGTATGCTGGCAGGTTGACACCGTTCCTTCGCAACCTATAGATACATTCATAACAGAATTACATTCTTTTATTGATCTTGTACGAGATGGATCGTATTCCTTTACTGTGTACATGAAAACAGACGTACATACAATAGCTGTCTTTCGTCGGCTTTCTTTTGTCATAATATTTGTGTTGGGCAAGTGTTAACAAAGGAGCACGGTCCTTACCGGTTGGCTTAATGTAAGTGTCAACATAAAGCATACGCACCTCTCGCAATGCATAAACGCCGCTCAGAAAATGCGGGAATACAATACTGCCGTATTTCACCATTCGCGGTAAAGGTCGTATCTTTAATACAATCTCCGTGATAATTCCTAACGTTCCCTCGCTGCCGAGTATCACATGATCAAAATCCGGGCCACAAGATACGCGAGGTACCAGATTACCTCTTTCTAAAGTGATAACGGGATCCTCTGTTCTTCCAGTGACCATTCGCAATCGCACGACCAAATCTTCGATGTTACCGTATGTGTTCTTTTTCATACCGCTTGCCCTAGTCGCCACCCATCCACCTAAACTATTCAAGACAAGCTATTTTCAGCTTCTGTACATTCGAAGTTTTGTTTTTTATATTTGGAGAAAAAATTTTAAATACTGATTATATTATTCAGGACTAAGTTATAGATAATAAAAATTTTTGAAGTTTGTTAGATATACTATACATATATTTTTGTTAATTTAATTTAAAAATTAAATTTTCAAAAATATTGATACATTCCGTATTTTTAATTAAAGTAAAATAATCATGTCTTGTATCTTGAGAAGCGTTGAAGAAATATTATTTAACTTTAATCAAATATGATAATTCGATTCTCTATTTTGAGTTTTGGTATCCATAGGTTATACATAGGATCTTTTGTATTTTGTGCTTTACACTATCGGGTTATATTTTACAAATAATACTTAGCCCTGAATCATTAAAGTATATACACGTTTATAAATAACAAAATGTTGACTACAGTTTTTCTGATACGATAACAAATATTATGAATGAATTCAAAAGTAAAGTAAGCTTTATTGTATGTACGTGGCGATATTTTATAGCAATTTACAATGTGGAGAAAAATGAGTTTTGTTTACTTTTCATGCTATATATTTAAAATAACTTGCACTCTAAACTGAAAAATTAATATTGAGTTTTGTAAGAAACGTAATCAAAAAGTTTTATCATCACAAATGTTATCACATATAGGGTGGGTCAAAAGTCTGGATACACCCAAATATCTCGTAAACGCATTTTAGAAAAAAATGTTTCAATAATTAACTTCATTTTTATTAAGTACTTTGCGAGTTATAAGACTTGAAAGTTACAGTATCGCCGACATTAGCATTACGCAAGGTATCGAATCAACGGCTAAAACCTCTTGAATGTTGTTCAGGATCATGTCCTAAATAATATTTGTTAAGATCAAGGTCACTGGAGATTGTTTCTCTTATTTTCATGTTAACATAAAAATGAATTTTCAGTGCAAAACTATCGCAAAGTACTTAACGAACTTAATTATAGTGTTTTGGAAAGCTCTCGAGATAAGCTATAAGAATATGTAATGAAAAAGGGGGGAGGGATTTCATTTAACAAATTCATATTGACTTTGACCTGACCTTGACAACGCCATCCTAGGTCAAATAACTACTATCGTTGAATGCGTCTTTTTAAACCTTACAACTTTAAGAAACATTTTTTTCTAAAATGCATCATTTATGAGATATTTGGGTGTATCCAGATTTTTGGCCCATCCTATATCAATTATTGTATATGTATAAACGTTATATATAGCATGTTATATAACAAATATGTTATAAGCACCTGCTTTTTTTCCACCATGATATACCTGGTGATCAAAATAAAGCGTTATAAATTTTTATTTCGAAAACACGAACTTTTTCCTTTTATTTTCATTTTTGCATTAAAAATTAATTTTTACGTAAAAATGAAAATAAGAGGTAAGGAGGACAACCTCCAATGACTTTGATAAATTATTATCAAATCCAGAATATCCAGGACATGATCCTGAACGACATTTAAAAGGTTTTAGCCGTCGGGCACCTTGAGTAATGCTAATGCCGGTGATACTGTAACTTTCAAGTATCATAACTCAAAAAGTACTCAATAAAAAATAACTTTATTATAGTGTTTTGGAAAGCTCTCGACATCGGCTATTAGATTCTGGAATCAATAATAGGGTGTTTTATTTAAAAAAAGTCGACATGATCTTGACATGACCTGGCAACGCTAACCGAAGTCAAACGGATAAGATTAATAAATAGATCTTTTTGAATCCCACAACTTTTGTTTGAACAATTTTTCTTAATAATACTGTATTTCCGAGATAAAAATTTGTAACGCTTTATTTTAAACATTCGGTATAGTACATACATATACAGAATGTCCCAGAATGACCGCCAAATATTTTATATGCTAGTAGAGCGAACTAAACTAAGTCGAAAAGTTCTCTACCATTTTGCAATTTTCGCAATAGTTAACAAGATATTAATTACTAAAGATCGCCAAATATTAGTTTTCAATAATTTTTTACTCAAGTACTACAACTTTCCAAAAAAAACAGCAAGAGACAAAAATTGTTTATTTTATTATAGAGTTCTGAAAACTTTTTAAGAGTTTTTTAGTATCGCATTTTCTTACGTTGGTCAAAATAGTTGCCAATATATATATATATATA